CGGTTCGGTGCGGCGGCGGCGGCGTGCCGTCGTAAAGCAGCACTGACGCCACGACGAGGGCCGCTCCGAGGAGGAGGAGCGCGTTTGGCGGCGGGCCGAGCTCGAGCAGCGCTGCGAGCAGGCCTGTGAGGAGGATGGCGCCGGCGGTGGCGAATCCCTTGCAGATGTTGTCGGCGTTCTTGATGACAACGGCGACCAGGAGGCCACGGAACCTAATCACCACATCAGCGTATCATGCTGCCCAAAATGACCACGACCAGGCCAGGCGGCCTCCGAAGCCGTTGACTGCGATGAGCGCCCAGGTGGACCTGTTAGTGGGCGATGGGCCAGTCGAGCCCTGCGAGAGATCTCGGAGATCTCGGGCAATCAGGGCCTCTTGCCTCTCGAAACCGCCGCCCCCGCCGCCCGCGCCGCCCCCGCCCGGCACGAACTCGGCGGCGTCGGGGTTTAGCGTGCTGCTGCTGGAGCCAAAGCCGGCCGCGGCGCCGGCGTTCGCCGCGACGGCGCCAAAGCCGCCGCCGCCCGCCGCGACATCCGCAAAGCCGCCGCCGCCGCTCGATCCCCACGAGCAAGCGCTACCACCTCCAGATGCCGCTGTCGCTGAGAGCGAAGCAAAGCTCGCGCCGGCGCAGCCCCACGATCCCGAAGCGGGCGTGTCGGCTGCCGCTCGCTTCGCCTCCGGGTCGCCGGGAGCGTCCTCCTCGGCGGGGCGCTTGAGCTCGTTCGTCATGGAGAGCGAGGTAGCTGCCCGCGCCGTTGGTGTACTCACTTCTGCCTTCAATGCATGCGGGGGGTCGGCTTGCCGCCCACCCAGCGATCCCAGAGGAGGAGGAGCGAGACGACGGCCGCATATACATACAGACTGGGTTCGGCTCCTAGGTAGGCATGGTGGTGGGCCGAGACATCGTGGGACGTGGGTGCCACAGGGGATCACGCACCACCCTTGCGAGCGAAATCCTCGTGTGCCTTCAGCACTCGACCGCCCTCGCCGCAGGCAAGCTCATTCACAATCTGCTCTGCGATTGCCGTGTGAAGAATGACAACAAAAAGAACGACTGAGATGCGCTGCTTCTGCAGCCCAAGCCAATTCTTGGTGGCCCAAGGAAAAGAATAATTTAAATGACTAGCTCCGAGGAGAAGGGGCGCTCCGCAGCTAGGGGGACCAAAAATCACCCGAATGCTACGTTCGGATCGCTTCTCATCGCAAACCCTGTCAGCAGTTCACCCTCGGATATGTTCGTAAGAGCTACATAGACTGAAAAATTCCGCCGCTGTGGGTTTATGTGTTAGGTATGAGGGTTTATTTCCTTACCGCCGCTACCAATCTGCGAGAGGTAGTGTTATCGGACACGGCTCCGGGCTCTGATGCTGTGAGCCCCGGACCCTCCTTGCGAAGCACACACGCCGGTGTGGAAGGGGGAAGTCCGGAATCGCCGAGAGCAGCGCGTGGGAGCATGGCCTCGCGCTGGGAAAACTCTTTTGTCCTACTCACTCTTAGCCTTGAAGTACAACGACCTGGGTGTGAGCCAAGTCCGTGGCTAAGTCGAGTTGGGGCAGCGAGCGGCCTGTCAGGTCGACTCGCCCATGCCCAGCCCGCTTGTGGCTGCCCCGACACATGGCCTCTGGTGGACCTTGCTGGGCAAGGTCCACTTCGGCTAAATTCACGCCCCAAACGCTACTATTTGCTCAGGCCAAGTCCAGGCACACTAGAGGACTGCCTGAGCTCACAGGGGCATGTACTACTTACTATATTCACACCTACTATGCTGTTTTCACACCGATCATAATACGCGATCGCGCAGGCCCCCACCCAGGGGGTGCCCCTGCCAGGCGCCGCAAGCGGTGCCCGGCAGGTGCCCGGCAGGAGCGGGTGCCCCGTGTGTGAGTACACACACACACACACACGGGTGCCCCCACCCCGAGGGGTGGGGGCGGGGTGTTCCGCGCAGATTACTTGCTTTGCTCGCTTGCGGGCGCTGGCGCGTTCAGGTCGAAGCGCGGCAGGCGAGTGGGTGAGGGCCCCTCCACAGCTTTCCTTCCAAACATGGGCGACTGGGCTGACGATGACGATGACTGGGAGCCTGCACCGCCACCGCGCAAGGCGCCGGCCCCCGCCACTCGTGCCGGACCGAGAGCGCCGCCGCCGCCGCCGCCGCCAAAGGCGGCAAAGGTTCCCAATGACCCGAGTGGCGTAGAGGCGTTGCCTGGCGAGAGCGAGAGCGCGTATGTCGCACGCCAGGCGCGGCTTCGCGAAGAGGCCGCGGCACGGATGCGCGCCAAGTTTGGCGGCTCGGGCGGCCTCGGCGGAGGGCGGCTCGGCGGAGTCGGCAGCAGCGGCATGGGCGGCGCAGCGAGCGCTGAGAGTGCGCGTGGCGGGCTGTGGGGAGGCCTCGGTAGCATCGCCGGGTCGGTCGTCGGCGCCGCCTCCGGCCTTGCGAAGGAGTCTGTCTCCGGCTTTGCTGCACTCGCCTCTGACGTCGGCGCAGTCGCCGGCATCGCCTCGCCAGAATCACAAGGCGCGGCGGCGGCGGCGGGTCGAGGCGCCGCAGCGTCGGCGCCGCGCACCCTGCTGCCAGCCGCGCCACGAGCCGCGCCGCCGGCGCAGGCCGCGCCGGCACCGGCGCCGAGGGCAGCGCCGAGGGCAGCGCCGGCGGCAAGCGGCTGGGAGGACGACGACGACTGGGGCGACGGCGGTGGGGGCTGGGAGACGGCGCCTGCGAAACCTACCGCTCCGGCCTCCGCCCCTCGGCCGAAGCCTCCGCAGCCGCCGCCGCAGCCGGTCCCGCCCGCAGCAGCCGCAGCGGGCGGGTGGGACGGCGGCGGCGTCGGCGAGGAAGGCGCGAGCTTGCGAAACCGTCTCGGAGCCTTGCCGGGACCTTCCCATAGGCGACGACGGCTGGGAGGACGCCCCGGCGGGGAGTGCGGCGCCAAAGCTTCCCCAACTCCCAAAGCCTCCGCCGTCCAAGCCTCCGCCGTCCAAGCCTCCGCCGTCCAAGCCTCCGCCGTCCAAGCCTCCGCCAGCCAAGCCTCCGCCGTCCAAGCCTCCGCCATCCAAGCCGCAGCCAGCCAAGCCGCAGCCCAAGACCAAGCCTCCTCCTCCGCCGCCGCCGAAGCCCAAGCCACCGCCCCCAGGCCCGCCGCCGCCACCGCAACCAGCAGCGGCAACCGCAGCGGCAACCGCAGCGCCAGCGCCAGCGCCAGCGCCCGCACGCGCCGAAGCGATCACGACCGAGGCCTCTTGCACCCCCTGCCCCATCTCTGCTAGCCCCCCCCCCCCCCTCCCGGCCGCACCCCCTCCTTGTCCTCGGCCACACACCCTCCCTTGCCAGCAGGAGGAGGAGGAGCTCAGCCAGTGGCTCGACGACGACGCGGCAGACGGCGACGCCCGCAAACCGCCACCGCCACCGCCACCGCCACCGCCACCGCAACCGCAACCGCAACCGCAACG